AAAGCCAGGGTTTTATGTGCTCAGCATGTGAATTTTGAGACAAAAATTCATTTCATAAAAGCTATTTCCAAAACAAAAAGCAGCATAACGTATAGTTGACTACTGTGGTTAAAACAGCAAGGTTGGGGGCACAGAGGGCATTACAGCTGAGTATGAAATAGTCACACTAAGGAAGAGGAAAGACAGCACTCTGAACAGAACACAGCAGGGGGTGGCAGGCTCCACCCTGTCCTGTGTCAGCCTCCCCTACTGCAACCCAGGAGCATGTGCAAGGCACTGGTACTCAATCCCCTAGTTAACCCAACTGTGTGGGTCGTACCTCCATACACATTCCAGAAACTAATTGTAGCAGACTGAATTGTGGGGAAGATTGGACACCAGTAATTTTTCTTCCCGTTTCAAGAAGGATATCACCCCAGAAAGCTTCAGAGGTTGGCAGAGGGAGGAGAAATGGTGGCCCAAGATTGACCTGTTCAGATCCTAGGTGCAGTTTCTCGATGCTGCTGCTAGTCTCCGTCTGCCTTCCACTCTGGAGTGTGTACTTAATTTCCACATTCCCTTTCTCACCTACTGAAATGAGCTCTGACTCCTACTCACTTTACCTGTGCCACAGTGTGATTCTTTTCCTTCTAGCGCCAAGAGCCAAGACTGTTACAGCTGGATTTGGAGGGAATGTGAAAGGAGACATCGCTCTTTGTCTATAACCAGCAAAAAGCAGGGAAGCCTGTTAATCTCTTTCCCAAGGTGGAGGCTCAGTAAATACGCTACTCTTCATTCTCCAGCATCTGGAGACAACAGCCATCATTTAGCAATACTCAAGTTTGCCTTCTTTTAGGCCACAGTGATTTGCCACAGTATGGCTTCCATTATATTTTACTCTGCCTCATTGACTGTTAGTACTGTTCACACTTCTGTAACTCCCTTTAGTGAAATCATTTAAGGGTATCATTCATATCCTGCTGACACCCTGACTGAATATACCTGTTTAACCAAATATACCCTTGAAATCTATTGGTTTTGATTTCAGGTTATGTGGATATTTAGGATATCCCCATGTCTGTTCTTTGACAAATAGCTTATTTTTAAACAGATAAAAGTTTATTTGGTTTAGAACTTCATCTTTGAAAATTAAGTTTTGGAAAATTCTAAGGTAGAGTTTATTAAGTTGACTTTGCCTTGACTTTTCTTTTTCATATGTCAACATAAGTTGACATATATATGCATATAAATAAACATTGCAATGAAAATATGTATATAAAGTGTAATATATACACATATATACACTACACATATATGTTTAAAATTAGCTAATTTTCTCAGTGCCTGTCTTAATGCCATGTTATATAGCGATGAATGATGAAGGCTTATTATGTATCATTTTGAAACCAATGTGGCTTTCCTTGACTTTCTGAAAATTTGCAACACTCAGAATGACCTTAGAAGTCACATGTTAAAGACTGTGATTCCCTCTCTTTATATGTGCACTTTTAATATCAAAATTGCATATCTCATGTGAATCATATAATATGTCAGCTCTGTGTTGGCTTGTCTGCCTAGCTTTTAATGGTCAAACCATTTCTCTGGATCTGCCTGATTATTTTCTGCATAAGTTCCTGGAGAATCATTCAAGTTGGATACATTTTTTATTTTTAAATTGCAGACTAATATTCCACAGGATGGATGTATAATGTCTTAGCTGCTCACACATAAAAGCACATCTGGGTTGTTCGGTGTCTTTGGTCTACTAGCAATGAAGCAAATCTCTGAGTGACTATGTGCCAGACTTTTGGTTGAAAGCCCCAGTTTCCATGTCCATGTGCTAAATGGTCAAAACTATGTTTACTGGTCTACAAGGTAAGTGTGTGTTTAGCTTAAAAAGACATGACTTGTGGTGACTTGAGTGGTAATGGCCCCAGTAAGCTCTTATATTTGAATTCTTGGTCTGCAGTTGGTGGAACTATTTGGGACGAATTAGGAGACATGGCCTTGTTGGAGGGGGTGTGTTGATGGAGGTAGACGTTGATGTTTCCAAAGCACATGCCGTTCCCATTTAGCTTTCTGTCTGCCTCATTGTTATCTCAACAGGTAAAGTTCTCAGCTACTGCTGCCGTGCCATATCTGCCTGCTACCACGCTGCCCAGCATGATGGTCATGGATGCATCCACCAAAACTTTAAACTTCAAATTAAATTCTTTTATAAGTTACTTTTGTCATAATGTTTTGTCAAGACAATAGAAGAGTAACCAGGGCATGGACAAACTGCATTTCAGAGTGGCTGGACCATTGTTTTCCCACTAGATTAATTATGGCAACCATTTTATAACATATATATCTTAATATAGCAGACATCTCTGAGTATATCTTACCACATGCAATTTTTATTTAACAATTATATATCAATAAGTTATGCATTCCTGGGGGTGGGCACAAAGGAAAATGCTTTTTCAAAAGGTGATAAGACAAACTCCAGACCAGGAAAATATATTTGCAGGCCAGCATTCAAAAATCTCAGATTTGAGTTTTTTTAACCTGTTTTTAACAGAAAGTTATATATTTTATATTTAAGTGTTTGAGCTCTTCTGAGAGAGTTTTTGACATGTCTGCCTTTATTTAACTTAGTCCCACAATGGGGAAAACTGACCTGGAGGTGGAATAAATTATGTTTTCCCAAAACTCCTAGATGGCATAATTATCTAGATATCACAGGCTATTAGGTGGACACATTCCCACAGAAGCCAGATTTCCGAGCTTTCAGAGCTTCTTGGTTTCCAACAAGGAGTAGCCATTACTACCCTACAGAGTACCTTGGAGGAATCAAGGGAAAGGGTGATTTGTATGACTGTAACACATTCATATTTTTTTCAGACTCATTCGTTTAAAAGGTTATTATACAATTTTATAAAGAGAACTTTAGGCTTTTAACAGATTTTCTCTTGGTGATGGCTTCCATCTTAAACTAGGCAATACCCTGAAATGAGATGAACACTCTACACGCTTGCTAAATTGGATCGTTAGCAGAGCTATGGCTAACCTTAGTTCTTTTTTTTATATTATCTTTACTGAGCTCTACATTTTTCTCCGCTCTCTTCCCTATCTTCCCTCCCCGCAACTTCAACCCTCTCCCAAGGTCCCCATGCTCCCAATTTACTCAGGAGATCTTGTCTTTTTCTACTTCCCTTGTAGATTAGATATATGTATGTCTCTCTTAGGGTCCTCATTTTTGTCTAGGTTCTCTGGGATTGTGACTTGTGGGCTGGTTTTCTTTGGTTTGTGTTTAAAAACCACTTATAAGTGAGTACATGTGATAATTGTCTTTGTGGGTCTGGGCTAACCTTAGTTCCTAGTCTTTGACATCACCTATGAGGCATGGATATACGCGGTTAGGAACTTGCGACTACATTTTATGAGTATTGAAATGGCTCCTCTCTGCATTTGTGGCTCACCTAGATATTTTCTTGTAACTAGATAGTATGGTTACAAAAGAGTTCCAGTAACTGCATTTTATGTATTATAAGCCACATACTGTTACCAGAATCTATGTCGTCTTCCAACTGGTATGTTTAATCCTAGAGCATTTTAAAGCTTTCTACCAAATAAATGCACGAAACGCCTTCCACATCTAGAGGACATGAAGTACAGGGCCATAAACACATCATTCCCTGTTTTGCAGATGTCTTTCTCTCTCAGATTAAAACATTTCAATTCCTATTGCATGCTTTCAATGATATTAACTAGATTACTCCTGCAACCACATATGTTTTTTTGTGTTCCTAGCTCTGGGGTGTGGAGTACAACCCCATTAATCTCTTAACCTATAAAAGGAAGAAATGGCATAGCTGTGACAGCAGCTTCTCGGGTGTACAGTTCAGAAGCTGCTCACCTGAGTCCTCACAGACGATGCTTACTTTGGGGAGGCAAGTACATAAATCACCCCTTTTGATATATGGCAAAATGGTTGACACAGGCTCTCATCATCCTGTATTTCTTTATTTCTCCTAACATTTTGGCCAAAAAGGCCAACATTAGATATTCGAGCATGTTATTTTGTTTCCATATCAGGAGCTTTATTTACTGGGTAAAACAGTATTGCTAATCCATAGAAACTTATGAAGTATTACTGGCTATTCTTCAGAAAGAATCAAATGGCTGGTATAGCTGATTCAGAAATGAAAATTTCAAGAACCAAAGGAGTTAAAAAACCCCTTAAATTACTGTAAGACACACATTGTGGTTTCATATTGTTTTAAAACCAGAATGTTTCCATAATTTCATGGTAGCTTTCAATGGGTTTATCTAGGTAGCAGTAATGATCTCATTCCTTGGTATCCATGAAAATGATTGCTCCTGAACAGCTGAACAAACTTAGTGGAATTTCTAGATAACTGTCACTTTGTGTTCAGAGAGCATAAAGTCATTGGATTAAAGCATAAATCTTGGTTGTAGTCTAAAACCTTGTATTAACTATTTCTAATAAAGTATAGATCAGAAAAGTCAGAGAGTGGACTCTTATAGCTTAATTGACAAGCACTCTTTTAAGAAAAGCTGCAACTTTTCTGTCTACAGCGGTGTAATAACTAAGGTAATAATTGAGAAGGGTATATTGACCACTTTTAGACATTAAGACCACTGATTTTCTTATTTCATTTTTTTTTGTATTTTATAGTATTGAAGAGTGGAAAAGTATGTCTAAATGCAAGAGACCTTCTATATTAAACATGGCACAAAATTCTTTTTTTTAAAAGATCTATTTTTATTGAACTGTATGTGTATATGTGTGTGCCATATGTGTGTAGGTCCTCACAGAGGCCAGAAGAGGGGTTGTAGTTATGGGCAGCTGTGAGCCTCTTGTGGGTGTTTGGCGCTGATCTGGAAAAGAATGAAGTGTTGTTAATCACTGAACAATCTCTCCAGGCTCCTGAAATAAACAAAGAAACATCTGGCTTGACAAACTTTTCCTTTCTTTAAGTAAGACTCTTTTTTTTTCTCATCAATTATTAATCATAACAACTCATATTTATACTTTTCCTCAGCTTTTTCCAAGTTATTATCAATTCCTAGTCTATCTAAATAAAAACCCAAATATTCCAGTTTTGATGAAGAAATCTAATCTTTATTTCTATGATGTTAACACAATATACTCACACGATAGCTTCGATCTGTACTTAACAAAATACATTTGTAGCACTTTACAAACTTCCTCAGTGTGGAAAACATCGCATAACATTTTATTAAACACAATACTTCGTATATATTATATATTCATAATTTTATTTACTTTAAAAAGATAATTAACTCTCTTTATTCAATACTTGGTTTTATCATCAATAAAGCACAGCCTAACAAAAGAAGAAGTGCTCTCGTTAGCAAATAAGATAAATAGAACACTAAGGAGAGATAACACCTGCTAGTCTGATTTGTTTTAAATTAAGGTACCAGTGGGATGTAAACAAATTTTTTGTAATTATTCATTTTTTACAAAAGATGTGTTATCAAATATACATGCAGAGGTCTGAATCCTAGTGTCTATCATTATAGTTTCTTAACAATGTGGTACAATTTGTTAAGTCATTAAAAACGGTAGCCTTTGGCACTTGGAGTAGAAAAAGAATATATCAATAGTATGTAAAGAAAAAGAATTCAATGACTAGAGAAGTACTTTAAAATCTTTTTTTGTTAAGAAATAGGAAAGATTAGGAAATATCATATACTGCACCTCAAATACTGCAGCTTGGTTTTTCTTCAGAGTACTAAAACCAGTCTACCCTTCCCTCTAGGAACTGGCCAGGCCAGTAGGCGGGGACATTGCGATGGTCGTGATGGTAGAAGTGGGGAAGGCAACATTTTACACCCACTTCCTTCTCTGAGAAGGAAATTGCCAGAAGGGTTACTGTTGAGTCTGTATTTTATTGCCAGAGTTTTCAATTCTGCTGGTTTCAGCTAAATTCCTAACGCCTTAGGAGGTTGAGTTCTCTAAAAAAAAACCTCTGCCCTTTGCATGTCGAAGTGGATAATGGGATGAGAGGGTTCCTTGCCGGACAGTTGTTCTCACTGAAAACTGCACTGAGGTCAGAACAATCAGCTCTGCAGTTTTCTTTTTGCTGCCTCTTGGCAATCAAGTGTGCAATATAATCCTTAAGACACGGCATAAAAGTATTTAATACCAAATTTCAAGAGCCAAATATTTCTCCACCCTATAAATCTCTAACCTGGAAAAAATACTTCAAAATGTTTTGATGGTATTCTTGCTACCAATAACATGGTTTCCTTTGATTGAGGCTCAAGGCTTTTGATTCAAGACAGGCAGCCAAAACTACAGGTTGCAGTCTAAGCACAAAAGCTGTGTCTACTCTGATGTCCTGAAGATACACTTTCTTACTTTGTACTGTGAGACACTTTTGTTTCTCGATTAGCGTCTGCCGAGATTATTACTGTTAGTGTCTCATTACAGGCATGTCAGGGAAGAGAGTCATGCTCCCCCCATCGTGGCTCCAGTTTATGAATGAGATAATGCAAAGATGAAACGCGCTGGAACAAAATGAAATTTTTATCATTGCTTACTGAAGCTGTAACCTTTGCCATCAGGTTGGAGACATCTTGAACTGGACCAACATGTCTGGCAATGGAACCCACAATCTCAACTTTTGGCTCAGATTTTCTTATTTATGAATTCACAGCAGTGTAGTTTGCACAAGGAATGTAAATAGTTATTTTTTTTTTTCGTTTTAAAATAGAAGAATATATGTGTGATCTCAAAAACACTTAATAAACTAAGGAGAAGCCATAAAGTGGAAAATATAATCACAGTAATTTCAAAATATTCTCTAAAACAATGTTTTAACTATGCAAATGTACTCACTAAAAATACCAGAAATCAGCATTACCAATACTTAAATAAAAAGGAGAAAAATGGTGCAGATAACTAGTTATTCCCTTTAACTGAAAACATTCCTACAGAGTTTCAGATATTGAAAAATGCATTTTTTCAAAGAAATGCCAGAACCCTTTTTAAACTTTTTTTTTCACTGTGAGAGAGCCACTACAGGGAAGCCAAGGATGGCCTAATCTGCCGAGGATGACCTAATCTACCACATCTTCGGAATGAAGGAGCATTTCTCTGACGAGGGATTGCACACCACTATTTCACAGCTAAGTAGAGTTTGAGAGTTTACATGGTCTATGCACTGGAATAATCAGCACCTCCCAGACTGAGTTTCTGGTGCAGATTCAGCAAAAAAAATGAATAATATATAATACTGCATGGCCTCTGCTGTAGGGAAAACCTGTGTGGTTTGGGTTTCCACAGCTAATTATAATGAAAAAAAAATCTCAAACTTGGCACATTCAGAAAGTTAAGTACTATACATCGAAGGAAATCGCTTGGTCTTAATGCTGCCCTCTGTGAAGCCTCAGTGACGGACGGGTCTTAGGAACTGTTCAGATGGAGAGATTAATTGGGGCCTTGCTTTGTGCTTTTCCTTTCCCTTGGTGTAAAATCGCCACGATTTCTGTGGTAGTTCTATGAGAGTTCCGGACTGATGGTGAACAATCTAGTTGGGCAAGAAGGCTTTCCAAATCCTCCTGAAAAAAAAAGAAAAGAAAAAAAGAAAAGAAAAACTAAAAAAGCACAGGTAGAATAAACGTGTGGTTTTGAGGGTGGTGGTGGTCACCCATATGATGGCACGAAGGGCCACTGCTCAATCCTTATAAGCCCGCGTGGGGGACGTTCCTTTGTAGAAGATGTTTCTCGTGTTCTCAGGGCTGTTGCTTCTCTCGGGGATCAAGATAATGTTGCCCTTTCTGCGCAGGGTGGAGTCGCGTGAGGAGGACACAGACAGCGTCTCTGAACCTATCTCGCTGCCCTCCACTGGGGTCACTCTGATGGTCGTGATGCCATGGTGGTGGTGCTCATTGCTGTCGATGTTGCTTCTCTTGCGATCTCCAGACCCAAAGCTGTCTTTGAGGGACTCGCAGCTTTCCGAGTCCCTGTTGAGATCATTGAGCTCATAGGTTTGGCGCAGGCTGCCCTTCTCTGGAGCTTTCCACTTCCAGGAGCCGCTGCCTTCTCCCTCGGTGGTGGATGGGATCTGAATGATAGGCCTGTTGTTCTCAGGGTGGGCCTCTACCCGCACGATGCCACCGGGCTCATGGTCTGTCAGGGTTTTGTAGCGGATGGAGCCTGTGCAGGTGACGGTGCTCCCCTCGGCATTCTTGGGGCTGCTCTGCAGCACGCCCTGTTGCTTGGACATGGCGATGACCTGCATGATGCGCGGCTGGCTGTTGCTCCGGTTACAGGCCACTGTCTTCTCTGCGGCTTTCAGCCACTTGGCCCGTGCAGAACTGCTCTTGGGCGAGGTGCTTATGTTTTCCTGGGTCTCCTCAGGGATGTGCACCAGTTGAGAGGAGCCAGGGCGGGACTGGATGGACACGCGTGGCCCTCCAGGCATGCTATTGTTGCACCCGGGGACAGAGCCAGGCTGGATCTTGAGGTACTGATTGCCTGGGACATGGTGGTCTCCATTCACCCCTACCCTGGAAGGCTCTGAGCTGGACCTCATTTCTATGGACCTAGGTGGTGACTGCCCTTCTGGCTCAGTGTCCATAACCTGCAGGGACATCTTGCGACTCTCGTTCTTGCTCTTCCACTGGGTGAGGAGCTGCTTGGACCGGGCAGAATCCATGGAGGCGTGGATGCTCGCGTTTCTTCTCACAGGGTCTTCCACTGAGGGGGTATTGGCTCTGGGCAGCGTGTTGCTGAAGGTCACCATGCTCTCTTTCCCCATGGGACTCCGAGGGGTGATGATTTCTACGTCAGCATTGGCCCTCTTGAGATTTGTTAAGGAGCTTGCATCCCTGTGGTTTCGGTTGAGGATGCCCTCTGTGTGAGCAATTCCATCACTGCTGCTACCATTTTTAGCTGATAAAACCCTGCTGGCGTCTTGACTGAGGTCTGTCAGTGACCTGAGGGCATCTCTCTGCTGGAGCATACTCTCTTCACTAGGGAGAAAATTCCCCACAGCATACAGGCCCTGGTGTTCGAGAGAAAACAACAAACATCACACACTAGAAGGTGCCATCAATCACGTTTCTCTTAGAATACCCACAGTTGAGGAAGGTACTGAGCATTAGCGAAGGACTAATAGAACAAAGAAAAAGTACAATTACTCAGGGCATAGCTTTAACTATCTAGATCATTGGACTAATTGCTTAGAAATAAGGATGATTCCTTTCAGTTCCACCAAAAGTTGTTACACCCTCTGTATGTTTTTTTAAAATTTTTATTGCTTTATAAATAATACCATTCAAAATTTCCACTTCCTCCCTCCTCCCATTTCCCTCCCCCTCCTCCACTGACTCTCCCTGTCCCCTCCAGTCCTAAGAAAAGGCAGGGTACCCTGCCCTGTGGGAAGTCCAAGGCCCTCCCCACTCCATCCAGGCCTAGGAAGGTGAGCATCCAAACAGACTGGGATCACAAAAAGTCAGTACATGCAGTAGGAACAAATTCCAGTGCCATTATCACCAGCCCTCAGTCAGCCCCCATTGTCAGCCACTTTCAGAGTCCAGTTTGATCACATGCTCATTAAGTCCCAGTCCAGCTGGCTTTGGTGAGCTCCCATAAAGGAAAGATAGCCAATGAGAGAAGTACCGACATTTTCCCCTGCCTTCTAAAGTTTTTCTTTTCTTTCTTTCTTTCTTTCTTTCTTTTCTTTCTTTCTTTTTCTTTTTTTTGGACTAGTAGCTTCTTTTTGAGTGACAGTCCAAGAGGCTTGAATTATTCGTGTTCCCTTCCATTTTCAATCACTCCTGATGGCAAGCAGAGGAGTGCTGGAAATATAGAACAGGAACCATTCCTGAAAACACCGAGTGGGGTTTAGAAATGAGGGCAGCGACACACATTGTTGCAAGTCACGCTGACTTCAGCCTTCCTGTCTGCTTCAATCTTGACCTTTAAGTGGGAAAGTTCTATTAAAGTGCTGCTTTGTATCAAATGTGGGCCAAATTTTACTTAATTTTGCCTGCGTTCTTAGTCCCTCAATTTTATTTGTTTGAGATTTGGAAAAGGTTACATTTCAGTTTCAAAATTGTTACCCGGGTTACAGGAGATCTAATGCCTGCTGGAGTTCCAGAGACAGGTTCATGAAGCCGGTGTCTACCTGTGAGTTATTTCAATTGAAGGTGGCTGGTTCTACCACTTACATCTAAGTAATGCGATTTTATGGTTTTAATATTTTATAGACTGCTTAACAGTGAGGAGTAGCATATATTTAGGAATGATAATGCACCAATTTCAGAGCACAGAGAGCAAATGGAATAAAAATAAAATTCTCTCTCTCTCTCTCTCTCTCTCTCTCTCTCTCTCTCTCTCTCTCTCTCTGTCTGTGTGTGTCTGTGTGTATTGAGATAGGATCTCACTATGTCACATTAGTTGGCCTGAAATTTGTTATGTAGATCAGGCTGGCCTCAAACTATTTATCTGTCTCTGCCTCTCAAGTGCTAGGATTTCAGGCATGTGCCATCATATTTAGACAGATTTTTTTTTATTGTTTTTGAGGTTTCACTAGGTAGACCAGGCTGCCCTTAAATTTGCAGTTCTGATGCTTCAATCTCTTAAGACTACAGGAGTGAGCATTGCCCTGGCTATCCTTTAGTGTCTCCTTTTAAATACTTCTACCTGTGCTCTTACCATTAGGATATGCTTCCTAATACTCTACCAATAATTGCATTGCATTTGTAAATTTGAAAAAAAATCTGCCATTGAACTTCAAGTTCTGGCCCTATTGTATAATATTCAGTGCTCAGAACGGTAATATAGTTATTTAATTCTTATTTTGAAAGAAATATGACATAAGTCATATTTAATTAATTAATTAATGAGCCATTGGAAATCAAACCAGGGGTTTGTGTGCTCTACTTTTTTGTGCTCTATACGTCTACTTCAATATTTTTGTTCTGTGGGTAAAGAATCAAGACTATGAGTGGCCAGGAAGACTTGAACTTCCTACCTACATCCTTTGGATTGGTTGGAACACGCATGTGAGTGTTAGGGTGCCATGATCTTACACGAGTGCAAGGAGATGCCCAGACTATGGAGTGGAAGCTCTTTTCCCCTTCTTTTACAGCACTCAGTCACTACTCCAATAGCCGCCCTGGCCTATGTGCCATGATTTCCCCACCGACTTCAGTGTGATCCAGTCCCTCTCTGCTGAAGAGGGCATGTGAAAGTAAAGTTTAAAGTGTTATCACCAGCTCTGCTTGCTTTTAAAGAGGAAATCATTGCACACCTCGGAAATATTTCTTCTTCGAGATCATTTGTTTTTGTGATTCCATTCTTACAAGTACCAAGACCACATTACTGTGGCTAGGGACAACTGATTTTTATTTCTGTCAGCCCAGTAGTTTCCTTCTTGTTGCCTGTTCATGTCTGTCACCAACATATTGGTTATCCTGGAAACTTTCTCACTCTGTGACCTGGCAATTTTACATACTCTAAATAAATGCAATGATGCATCTATAAACAATGGCCCTGGCTTCCAAAGTACTCATGGCTCTTCTGCCCTTCAGACATAGCTACTAAAATGCCTATTACTTAATAATCATGAACTCCTTAATTGTGTTTCTATCCAGCAATATGTTAGCTGGATTATTTATCTAGTCTACTAGTGTGATAATCATAAGTCTAGTCTTCTAAGTTATAGATTTGGTCATTGTTCCTCATTCCAACACTTCCTTTTCTCTCTGATTGCTCTTTAACATCTTTGTGTGGTAATCTCTTCCCCCTGAATGAGCTCTCTATTTTATTTACCTTAAAATATTTTTAGCCATATCCTTTCTAGAAAGGTTACTTGATGTTCCTTTGGCAGTTTCCTGTTCACAAGGAATCACATGCCATCACTAAGTATGTTGTAACCATTTATGCTGATGCTTGTCTTTACACGAGGCAAGCATCAGGAGACATCTTATTTTCCTTAGTTTTATAGTGGATAACAATGTGTAGATAATGAATAAGGAAAGTGAATGAAAGGATGCATGCACGACTGAGTTCAATAGACAATGTCGGTCTCCTTATAATGCAGATACTCATCTTGAAGGTATTTAGTGTGTTTGGGAGATTAAAAAGCTTCACTGTTGGTTGGAACATAGCTACATTCAGAAAAGTACCACTTTGTGTTGTTGGGGGAAATTAGAGCAACTTTTACTAACTCTTCACTATTCCTAGTTTTACTTATATCTGCTCTCCTCATGTATAAAATTTCAGTACACAGTACTTTCTTTAAGAAAGGAATATAACAATTCTCAAATCAATCTTGGCTCATAAGAAGAACTCATTAAATCATTTTATTGGAAGTAGAGAATAATTTGCCCTAGAATAAGATGCACCGTGGGATTTTCTCATGAATATAAATGCATCATGAGTAAGTAATTATTGTACAAAATATCCCATGCATGCCTTTCCACATTAAACTGCACTTCACGAAATAGTAAGAATGTTATTTACCAAATACAGGGCGATTCCTCCTCCTATCAAAAAGCCACAATAGACATCGACTGGGTGATTCTTATACTGAGTTATCCGTGTTAGCCCGCAGATGATTCCACAGATGATAAACGTGAAGACCAAGAGAGGTTTCAGGAGCTTGGAGGAATCGGTTAATGTGGAATTGAAGTACATCTTTAAAATGAAAGATGTGAGGTAAGTATGCTAGAAAGGCCATTGTGTTAGAAACGTCTAAGCAAATAAAAAGTTCAACTCAAAAGTTTGGCTGACAAACTTGACATAACTTTCATCCATTCCCCTTGCTATGGCTAAGTTCTCAACTGACCTAAGAGGGAAGTGCATGACAACATTCATAAAATACACAGCCTAGCTCTCCTTTAATTGCAAGAAAGTCTGCAAAATATCAAAGCAGTAGATTTTCCCCTAGAATCCTAATATCCCTCTTACATACCACAAAATTTCGGTACATTTGTCTCACAAAAGACTACTCGGGTTGTGGTGTCAATCAAACACCAGGACTCTTCATTGTATAACACTTATCAAATTGACCGTGACCTAGAACTCGCTATTGTTACATAAATACTGAGAGCTGTGTTCCTGTCTGTGTCTTTGTACACTTCCTTAACAAAAGGCCTTTGGTTTCTGCCACATTTGTGTATCACATAAATATTTCCCCACCAAGTATTGTGTTCAAAGGGCCTAAGGGTAAGCAAATATTATGACTCATTGTGGAAGAATTCTTTGATTCTTCCTTTTAAAAAAAAATGAAAAGTAGCACTTGATAATGGCTTTAGAAGCTATTGTATTAAATTATAATCTAATTAGTCACCTGGAGGAAATACTCATTTCTCAGCTTTTCTCTAGGTCACAGTTTAGCAACCAGGAGCTTATTACTTACCGACACATATACAGCAGCAAAGGCAGCAAGGGTTGCGTGTTGGGACGGGAATGACTTCCTGCCAAGGGAAGACATTCAAATCATGCATTTAGTCTGAATGTGCTACCAGCCACCATTGCAAGAGGGCAGGGTAAGATGTTCAACTTCAAGTCATGAAACAAGAAGTTATAACCCTAATTTATATTTGGTTTACTGAGAAAAACCAGAGTGATTACAACCCTTGGGAACACTGCTGGCCACCATGAGTATTAAAGAATGGCGGTGACATACTTTTTAGTAAAAAATGAAATGAAAGGAAGTGGAAAATAAGTATGAGGTTGGCAAAGGGACATGTGAAATAAGTTAGAAAATAACTGCGTTTTGATTGCAGTTAGATCAATTCCTTGTTCAAGTCCATAAAATATAGGGCTTTGATGTTTTATGTGCTTTTTCTGCCCTGAAATAGTTTCATGGCAATAAGTAAGGACATTATTTTCCCATACCAGTAGATCTTAATGTACTTTTATACTCTAAAATGCACAGAAAAGCCCTGCTTTAACAAACTGCCTCTCTGCAGAGCTTACTCTGCAGTGACTGTTACTTCTAAAACAACACAGAATTTTCTTAAGTTGAACAACTTAAGGAGCAAACTTCATTTGGGACACTGATCAGTGGAACATACTGATCAGAAGAAACACAGGAAAAGGATTAGAAATTTCTTTCAGTGGAATAAAAACATGGACAAAACGTCATTGATATTATTTCTTTTCTAATTATTTGTTACTTGTTATATTGTTATAGACAATAAAATGTGGAAGTATTGAGAAAGAATACAGGACATGGTTCTTCAGCATAAATTCAAAATTACTAAATATTCCATGGGAATTTGCTTTGTTGAAAAGTCAGTAATAACAACTACAATTTTTATAATAATTATCTGGAACTCTGCATCTCTTTACTGATTTCTTTTCAGCACCTCAGAAACTTCCTCTTGTATTATAAGTGTATTTTACTTTGTTGATTGAAAATAATTTAATGTAGTAGTAGTTTCATGTCCTTAACCTTCTGAACTTTAAAGTCAGGAGATGTTTAACATTTATGTATTTATTATGTATTTATTAATACATAATAAGGAAAAGAGATGCAGCCAAAGGCAGATGCTGCTTCTTTGTAAAGTTGAGCAAAAGAAAAACTTTACATAATTTTAAAATAAGTGATAAAGAAGAGACAGAACACAGATTTTTGGTATTTGACTTGAGTCCAATGCACATATTGTCTGTCAGCTACAAAGAATGGACCATTACTATCTTAAACCAATTGTGGTAGAACACAAAATATAAGTTCAGGCAAAGGAGGGCTTGTGGCAAGAATGTGAAACTGAAAATTGGAGACTTCAAGAGAAGGATTTGGAACAAGTCACTAGCAGATCTCATGTTATGGCTATTGAATTGATTGTTGCTTTGATAATATAAGCAAAATACAGATCATCATACTGAAAATGGCATGCTTGGGTGTGCAATGTTTGCACGACACAGGGACTGGCATGGAATAGTTTGAGAGTTCTGTTTCCAACCTGCCACTGTTGATCACTGTAAGGTCAGATCCAGAACAGATATCCTCCACGATGTAGGAATTTTCTTTGCAGGACACATTCAGAGAGGTGTAGTTCGGCTTGCACACAGTCAGAAAGTACGGGGCTTGGTACCCTGTGGAGAGCTGTATGATGTCTGTAATGAGAGCCGTGGAGCACAGTCCAAACACATGGACTCCTAGAAGGAAAACGGAAAATGTTGTTACCAACGTGATGGCCAACGCTGGGTTTATATTAGTGTCAACTCTGTTTATTGTACATTAGTGTGTTGACCTTATAATGTGCCGTCATTTTTTCTAAGGTAATTTGAGAGGTAATATAAACATTTTCTAAGCTTCTACATTGATATTTAAGGGCAAAATAGTACAGCGAGAATTTATCAGCTATATAGTCAATAGACTATAGTCACTCTTGTCAATTAGGGAAAATATTTTATATATAAATATTTGCTTTTAATTAAGCATGTCTAGGTGTAGGTCTGTATACATGTTTGTACAGGTCCCTGCAGAGTACAGAAGAAGGTATCGGAGTTCCAGAGCTGGAGTTCCAGGCAGTTGTGAGTGGCCAGATGTGAGTGCTAGAAATTGAACTTGGGTCCTTTACAAGAGCAGTGTGTATTCTGAACTGATAAGCCATGTCTTCAGTGACTAAGGTCAATTTTTAATATGATTTACCATAGGTCATTTCCCATCTATCTGGGGGAAAGTTAAGGAAAGATTAGGGAGGGACAGAATATGAGAAATGCAATAGAATCGAAAATGCTTTTACGTTAACGTTATTTTTATTTTGCCGTCACTGAACTTATTCACCGCAATCTGTGTGATCATGGGTTTGCATCTGGTCTTTGGAGTCTGGTGAATTTTTAATTAAGACAATGATTGCCCCTACTCCCCAGTCCATCAGTAGCTAAATGGTTCAGTAATGTGGAAAACAACTTGTAGGGAGGAGGAGAAGTTGTCAGGGATGGAGGAGATAAAAGCAAATCAGGAGGTGAGAGTAGTCACCATGCATTAAATGTAGTTCTAAAACTGTCAAAGAGCAAGTTTAATAAAAGTTACTTAACTCTGGAATAAAATGTACACAAGTTTTTATAATGGTAATTTAAAAATCCTGAGCATTTCTGAGGGGTTCGGACTCTTTTCTCACCTTGGTCTATGACTGTAGGCACAGGTACTAAACCCCAGAGTCCATTCTACTTCTCTATAAAGCACAGTATTTCTGAGAATTATAATTGAGCAAAGAAGGGAGAAGGCAGGATTTGCCATAATAACCAAACAGAAGTTACAGCCTGGGTAGCTGTGGGAGCTGCCATATTTGGTGATGATGTCCTTATATATCCTGCCAAACTTTCAATTGTATATTCTGGGACCAATCTTCAATTACAAATCCTCAAGCTCTATGTTATTTGAAGTCACCTGCTTGGCTCATCATGTGAGTAGTTCCTTCTAAGGAAGGCATAGATGATTTAGAACATGCCTACTCTTCCCAGGCTGTCTTGCCTCCCTGAATTCATTCTGACTCAATTGCTTGCGTTCTGATTTACGAGACGCTCACTGAAATCATTCTAAAAGGCACCCTTTCATCATCTCCAGACCAAGAGTGTTGGATTGCACCGATTTTCATTTTTCTTCTCCAATCATTGTCCTCTAATCACCACAGCCTCAGTTCCTTCCCAATTACACCAGGAATTCACAGCATGGAAAACTGATCTCTGCATTCCAGTTCCGAGCCACATGCATAGGGTCTACTCTGTTTTTTTTTTTAAATGTATTTATGTATAGGTGTGTGAGTATGAACATTAGTATGAGGGTGCCCATAGAGAACAACGGAAAGTGTCAGACCCCACAGAACTGAAGTTTCAATCAGTTGTAAGCTGCCTATTCTGGGGTCTGTCTTGGAGTCAAACTCCGGTCCTCTGAAAGAGCAGCAAATGCTCTTAACCACTAAGCCACCTCTTCAGTCCCCCTAGGAGTCATTCTTAACCGATACAGCATAGACCACAATGTGCTGGACATGAAGAGCAGGCGGTGTGATCTGAGGCTTGCTTGATCTAGGTAAAGACTGAATAAGAAGGGAGTCAACTTATTTTACGTTTAGGGAAATAAGACTCTGCAGGCCCAGGCTGAGTGAGGTTGCAGATAGCATCATTTCAGAGTATATACTTCTTTGTCCATAGCATTATATTCTATTGTGGAAACCTTTCTCTGGGTTCAGCTTTATGTCTTGGAGTTCTATTTCCTTATCTCAAATGTTTCTAAGTGGGATACTGTTTTATTACCATACCAATATGATGGTAAGAAGATGCCTTCAAAAGGCAGGGTTTAGGAAATTATTCAGAGTCAGTCAGGGAGAGAAAATTTCATGTAATTATTCATGAGATATTACATGAGGCTGCCAATTTCTTTCTGTTGACAAGCTATAGGTAAAAATAGCCTAATATTGACTTATTGGGATGAATATAAAACCTTCAGGTTGGTTTCTGGTATCATAGATGATCATTTAAATCAGTAAAAAAAATGTAAAATAAAATCTGTGGCTCAAACTTGATTCTGATGGTCCCATGCTAATTGTGATTTAGGAATTAGTGTGAGTCAGATATTTACTTAGTCAGACCTGTGGTTTTTCTTATAGGCTTCATTAAAAAAAAATGTAAGGTGTGTGTGTGTGTGTGTGTGTGTGTGTGTGTGTGTGTGTGTAAAAGAGTCTAACCAAGAAAAAGTAGCCAGGATGTAGCAGTCTAGTGTGACATATCCATCCACAGTGATTTTGGGATGAAACCACTAAGAAACAGACTCACTTATGTGAATAAGTTAATTTCTGAAACTTTGTCAACTAACGATGACCTACTGACATTTAAAAAATAAATAAAACGAAGCATGGTGCCACACTCTTGCTATCCTAGCACGTGGGAGGTAGTGGCAGGAGGCTGAGAAATTCAAGGCCAGCTTCAACAACATATTAAATAGCGGCCACATGGAACTTGCCCCTACTTTTCTCCTTCTCCCATGGGAAAAAAAATATCAAAACCTAAAACATCCACTTTGTGAAACTATTTTAAAGTAAACTTATGCTTCAACTAGAGTTTGGCAGAATGCCCTGAAATGTGTGGTGTGCTAGCTCACAGAATCAGGGCTATGACTCTAAATAACACATTTTCGATAGAGATCCTAGATTCTGATTTTTAAAAATCAGTTTCCTGTATACTGTGAAGCTCATGCTTACTGAACGTATACATCTAAATTACAGCTTTAAGGGTTTAATATCTGTAATTAGACATCGTATTTCTGTGCAGAAAAGCATTTTCTTTCTTTTTGGCTCCTCACACCCACCAACGAATCTGACGGCTCTTCTGAGAAAGGAGTTGAAGTTGCAGCCCCCGGCATTGATGTGGGGTTCCAATCCAGCCCCATTTCTTCTTTTGGAAAGGCAGCAGTATAGAATCCCTTCTCCCACCATGATCTGCAAAGGCCACACGGTGTCAGCAAGAGTGTCACTGTACCTGCACACTCGCAAGTATACACTATGCATCATCCGTTCACACATTGTCAATTCAACAAAGAGAAAATGTATTTTTCTGAGCACTTCAGAAATGTAAGCAATTTATTCTGGGGATTTAGCAAGCAGTGAGAAATAAGCAATTAGGGCACTGTAAAGAGTTCTGGCTGTGTCTTGTCTACTTCCATTTGTCAAAGGTGTGAAAATGTCTCTGAATTTCAATTTGATTAAAAGAATCACCCCTTGGTATTTTGCTCATCACACCCAGTAATTCAATCAACCGCACAGTTGCTGATTCTGCTCTAACTTTGAGATTCTTGACATCAATTCCAAGATGCCTTAGAAGAATCAAATAAATATAGAGTTAGTATCAGAAACATTTGACAAGCAGATTTGGTCAACAAAACACTTTCTAATTTAGCAGAAGGAAAATAAATGCATGGAAAGCTTGTCTAAGTATAAAAGTACTATTGAGTATAGCCATTCCATACATATTTCAGTAGGGATGGAATGATGTTTTGTATTGGTTAATATGGAAGGAACCACTCCCATGTAGCTGCCAACAACTCAATGTAGGCACTGCAAATGGCTCAATTATTTAATGTTAATTGTACTACATTAAAAGTTTAAAACATTAAATTTAGACATGAAAAGGTCACACGGTGGGATGGCTATCTATTGTTTCCAGCACATGCACCAACACCAGGAGAGGAAGCATCATGTGATAAAGGTTCCTGATGGGGAACGTAGCAATTGGACTTCTTCCAAGTGACTCTGGGTTTATTTGCTTAGTTTATTCACTCATAGCTTAGTGAACAAACGACTTTACATCTATAAAGTGTGAGTTATTCCAGTGATTGCATATAAGCAGTCCTTTTACCAGGGTTGTATACACCCTGATGTACTTTACGTGTTTTATTCCAGATGTATCAATTAAATTCATATATTGCATTCTGGCTGAGAAATATTTTCTAATGTGATAGGTTTAAAACAAATATACTATTTCCTCTATGGTCAAATGACTAAGCAAAATGACGGAAAGATGTTGCTATTTGAAGAAATGTCATCCATTAAAAAGCTTTCTTTGCTTCCAAGTGCATCATAAATACTTCTAATCCTTTGAATTCGCTGGAGCTCAAATACCATTTGTTTGCAGCATGACTAAATTAGGTTTCAATTATTTTATCCAAATATTTCATTAAATGTATTTATAGTATAAATAATAAAATATTATTTACTCTAGGGGTAATATTTGGAGTACAGAAACATGGTTACACGAAAGTATAGAGTTTAGAAAATCTACAAAGAAACTTTTTAGAAACTGTTGATATACTGAAACTCAAAAGGCCAGTGCATTGGAGAATCTTATAAAAGATCTGTTTAATTGTGCCTTTTAATTTCATAAATGTTCAACATTGATGAGTGTAGTGAAAGAACCTGAGATGAGCGAAGGCTCCTTCTGGCATAAGCAAACAATACCACCCAGGAAATGTATTTCTTTTCTTTTAGACAAGTAGTGTGGGGGCAGAAGAAATGGCAGGAAGGCTTATCTAACCTTATCTATCAATGGATGTACATGAAACATGCTATTTGTGATGTGTTATAACACATCAAAACAACTGTTTAGAAATTTAATACCAAGGAAATAAATACCAGTGAACATATAGGCAAATGAACTGGCTAGATAATTTTCAAAAAGAGAAATATAAATGGCCAATAACTATTTTAAAAAGTTCTCAGTATTCATAGCTATCAGAAACATAAAAATTAGAATTACTTTAAGATATTACCTTTCCTCAGTGAGAATAGGTCTCATCAATAAACATGATAAGAAATGTTGGAGGGGACACAGAGAAAAAGAAAGCCTTATGACTGCTGGTGGAGGCAAAATTAATATAACCATTGTAGAAATCATTTGGAAATTTCTCAAAAAATTAAAAATAGAACTACCTTATGACTCCAGTGTTTATTTACGGGCATATATTCAGAGAAGCCCATTCCCTTCTCTAGAGATATTTGCAACCAGTGTTTATTGTTGCTTTATTCACTATAATAATGAATTGGAATCAACTTCGTTGTCCATCAACAGATGAATAGATATTGAAAATTTATATATATATAAAATGGAATACTATTCGGTTCTAAAGAAAAAAATACAATCACAAAATTTGCTCTAAAGAAAAAACGCAATCACAAAATTTGCAGATAAATTAACTTAGAATGTACAATAGTAAGCGATGTTATACATTCTCAGAAAGATCAAACTGCATGCCTTTCCCTCACATGCAGAATCTAGTCAGTAATGCATGCACACAACTAAACAAGTGTGCATGTTGGTACAGTGTGTCGTGTAGGAAAGAGAGCAATGAAAGTTAAATACCAGGGGATGAGGATGGGCTGACTGCAGGAAATGGGCATGTGCTCATTATAAAAGAGGATATAAAAATTGCTGTTTAGTTCTAACCCTGTAATGGATATTCCGTTTTTTGTTATAGATAATTACATAAATGCATAAGTAAAAGTATCAAATAAAATGTGAAGCTCCCCAACTTCAGTATAGAAATTCTTTGATTGCATAGCCTTTGCTAATTTTAACTTGCAATTTTTTGCAATATTTATTTATAGTAGGGTTTCATACTAAAAATGACTGTGTTTTAATTCATGTTTGATAGATTGGATATGTGTGTGTGTGTGTGTGTGTGTGTGTGTGTGTGTGTGTGTGTGTGTGCAGTAAGCATGAATACATGACCAAAAGTTAAGTTTTGAGCTTTTTATACTTGGTAAGTCCCATTGATTATAATCAGCATAAAGTACTAATTTAGTAAAATTTAACCTATAAATGTTACTAAAATCATTTTTGAACAGAAAATAATTAATTTCAACTCCCTGGAATTCAGGTAGCAAACAAAACATGAAAAATACATCAATTAAAAATATATCACCAATATAATAGTATCCATTAAGAATAATTGTCTAGTTATAAAATCTTTTTCATAAATGCAAACATCATTTTGGAAACTGTGTAATTTTTAAAACTAAATGCCAACAATTTTAAGCAATCAACTACATGATAATGTCAATATGTAATATATCCCAAAGACAAGACCTTCCCAATCCAAGGGTTAGAGTTCATCTTTTTCTTGTTTTTTTTTTTTTTCACACTTGCTACACAAACTGAATCAGTTTTTGTTTTCTGGGATTAAACAATAAAATTTGGGGCCAATTCTTACCGTAATTGCAGGTCCAGCAAAAGCCAAGCTAAGCAACATGAGGAATGGGATGGCCTCCTGGGTTGGCTCAATGTAGGGCATGCTAAGACTCCGGTCATAGCAGCTGAATCCAGAGTGCACAGGTTTGAAGACATCTGTGAGTTCCAGGAAATAGAGGCTAACCACCGATGATGCCAATATAGGCAACTGAGGGTGAAAGACACAGGAAACAATCTATTTTTGTAAATAGGACAAATAGGATCAGTACAACTTGAAGTCTGAAACTGGTGGAATTTTCCCCTTCTGTCACAGCCCCTCTGTGGGGCAGAATAAAATGCACTCATAACATGCTGTGGGTTTGATGGTCACAGTATGCCTCCAAGTCCTCTACCTTGCCGGGAGGCTCTCATCTGTCACCCTTTGCCTAGTCTTTCCACCTTTCTCTTCACTTACTCGTCCTCTTATCCAGTCCCCCACCACTAACGCCACAAGAAGACTTTTGGACATATTCCAACTCATCTCACTTCCCGCCATATTGGTTGCCATTCTCACCTGAACCGAATCCAAATGTTTAACATGAACAGAACCCAAGAGCTACACCATGGAATGGAGCTTCCTTCAATACCTGGCCTTGGTTTCAGTCTCACGCTTCTCTCACTCCTCAGCTCGCTGCTGGCCACGCTCAGATGGTTCTTCATGACTTTCCTGTCAGAGTCAAATTTATTCCTTCCCAAGGTCCTTTGCCTCTGCTGCTCCTTTTCCTTTCATGTCCTTTCCCTAATTCTTTTCATGAAAGACATCTCTCCATGATTAATGGGATGTCCTGCATCCTCTAGTTATGGTGACCTTTGATCCATCTTCAACCTTGTTATCTCTCTTGATTTTTCTTAATAGTACTTATTAATTAAAATTATTTTGTGAATTAACATTATGTTAGCAAAATTAGCAATTATTTAATTTTCTTCTTCTATAAACTACAACAAACACTTAATTAAAGAAGTAAGAATCTGTCAGTGTTGTTTATTGCTGAGACCCTGGAGTATAAAACTATTAGTTTCACATAGTAACATCCAATATATCACTTAGTAGTTATAGTGGCCAATTGCTACTTATCAATAGATGACTAGCTGAATAAAAGTGTAAACCCTAATGTATTACAGTAAATATATTGAAGTTGCCAGGTTTAGCAAATAAAAATGCATGCTAACCAGTTAAATAAACATTTCAGATTGCAATAACTAATTTTTATTGTAAGAATATCCCTCTCAATGACTGAGCAATACATAAAAATTATTCAATGTTTTTCTTAAATTTTGATTTCATTGGCTACCTTAAACCAATCTCAATGTAGTTTCTAACCTTTTGTTTTATATAATTTGTGAATTTTTCTTTCATTCAATCTTTAATGCTCCAGGTTCTCACTACACAGAAGTTAGGTATCATAGAGAACATGATGTTCAATTTGCCATCCAGGAAAAAAAAAAGCATAGAGAATGAGCTACTGTCAGTTTGGAAGAAAATATGAATTCTTTGCTATAGTAGTCCTGTCAATGCTAACAATATAGACTTATGCATTAATCAATGTTTAGTTTGGCATTGGGAAGATGGTTCGATCAGTATACTGCTTGTTCTGTGCATGTGAGCATTTGAACTTGATCCATGCAATAAACTTGCCACTACACACACTTAATTCTAGAGTTTGGGAGGTGGAAAGAGGAGAGTTCCTGGAGCATACTGAGCAGACAGTCTAGCAGAATTGATGCAGTTCTTTTCCCAGTGAGCAGTCCTATCTCAAGACCAAGATGAATAGTGACCGAGGAAGATACCCATCAGTGGCTTGCCTCTCCAGACGTTCCCCCCCATCATGATTCCCTTCTTTAGTTTAAGGTTTTGATATTTGTGGAATACATAATGTTTACATAACTAAACAGGAAAGATATTTTATAAGAACATGATTAACCAGTGATGATTTCTGGCTATTTGTTTAAAATATAAATTTTCAACATAGAGTTACACTTTCTATTTCCAGGAAGTCTTTATTTGTAATGAACTGAGCATTAGGTTTATTGGAAAGCTTAGTGAGGAATGGTGATTTCTCTGCTTGTGGCTTTCTGGTTTTCAACTGGATGGTTTCTATGGAAAAAACATTGCGTTGAAATATTTGTGTTTTATCTTATCCATTAGCATTCGATGACTCTAAACAGCTTGCTATTTTTTCACACTCCTTCCTAACTTGGTCTACAGTGATAGTAGCTTTTCATCATGAACAATGAAGCAGTTCTCCCTGGTGTATTCATGTGACTGAAATTCCCATTTCAGTCTGGATTAATATATTTTATCTTTAATTTAGTAAATAGATCATGCCAGATAATTTCCTGTTTTGGAAATTGATGCGATTCATTGATTTTTAATCCACTTAATTTAAATCTTATTGCTTGGCAGATAGGTTATATTGATGTCCTCGTTTTTATCGGTGATAAGCATTCATAATAACAAGTGGCAGAGTTAGTTGTTGAACCTAGCTCATTCCAAAGTCTTACGTATTAAAAACTATTCTATCTTCCTTTCCAAATATTAAATAGAAATAAATGTTTCAGATAATGAATTAATGGCTTACATCAATTTAAGGATAACTGTTAGCTTGTGGCTGTTCTGTATTTATCACTCTTTGTGAAAATATGCATTAATTAGTATAAATAGACTTTATCTTAAATATGTGGTTTCTATAAAACTGGAAAGAATTTTTCTACTTATTTGAATGCTAAATATTTCACCATTAATCAGATTTCTCCATCTACTTTCTATCCTTTTTTTTTTTTCCTGGAAAATTTCTTGTGTCACCTACTTGTACTTTGCCCATGGGAGTCAGATTTGTGATCTTCAGTGCCCATCTGGATAACATGTGACTATCAATTTTTTAATGCTCATAAACTTACAAGTGAGCAAAAATTTTACTAATATAATCAATCTGAAAATAAAGTTGGCCTTATTTGTCAGAGACATATCCCCCATGGGACGTTTGTGTCTGATCACATGTAGACTCCATGCTCGACTACATTAACAATGACATAGCTAAAGAATGAAGGTATTATTTTCAGTGCATATGCATGGGCAATGCGAAAGAATGCTTAGAAGTTTGCAGTGTGGTAGAACCAGTGGCGTCGGATGGCTTTCACGTGGCTAGGAGGGTCTAGTTCCAGTATGTTCACTGTACCAGAGATCACATTGGAAGGGCTTCTTCAATTTCAGTTTTCTTATCTCTGAAAGTAGCTATGTTATGAGTAACCATCCCTGCCAGTCAGCTGACGCGAAGAAATGTGCTATTGTAAACAAAATGACAAATGCCTGGAATAGAGATTAGCGCTTTGATCCCATTGCGCACTTTCTTTTCTACCTCTGATTTCAGTTACCCATGATTTAAAAATATTAAGCAGAGAACCTATGGATAAATATGCAAAAAACCCATAACAACTTTTATTATAGGATATGATAATTGTTCAAATTTATTATTTGTGTTGCTAATCTCTCCCTGTTGCTAATTCCTAAGTTAAGCCTTATCCTAAGCCTGTGTAAAAAGAAAAATGCACACAGGGTTTCTATAAACAACTTCAGGTACCCTCAGCCATTCCTGGAATAGAACCTCTACAAATGGTTTATGGCTGCTGCCTAAAGTCGTCCAGTGTAATTGTATAATGTTAGCAATATGCTTCTTATATTTCTCACCTTAATTTCCTAGGACTTTTTTTTTTCAGGGAATTATTGAATACTGCCCCCCCCCTTTTTTATTGTTTTGGAGTTAGGTAGACTGGGTATATAGAATGGGTCTGATGCTTTCCCCAACTAACATCTTTAGGCCGTGGTCTAATCATACTTCCTATATTGCCATTAATGGTTGCTGATACAATAATAACTTCCAAATAGATAAACATGCGGTACACACAAGCAATAATTTACCTTGTGAATGAAAACAATGTTTATTACTAATCTCTAGGTCTTTTTGTCTTTTGCACATTAGTCAATTTTTGTAGCTGTATTATAGTTATCTGTGTTTCAGTCAAAGCCTGTTTTAATACCTTACTTGTTTTAAAAATTAGAAATAATTTTCTATCCCTTTGATGTTAGTATTTCCATTTTTTTTTCTTAAAAGGCTAGTTAGTTTTTGTTTTTCTCATCAATATTGCCTTTTCCCACCCAAGTACAGTGGATTAAATCACAATGTCATTTAAATCTGTCGTACTTGTCTTCAAAAGTGTTTTTTTTTTTTTATCCTTGAGGTGCTTAGCAATGGAAGTTGCTTTTGAATGGAGAATGTTAGCAGATGAAATATGTTAATTTGGGAAAACATATATAGAATTTTATATGCACAGAATAGAAAAAGTTACACAGATTTTGATAGCATTTAAAATGAGATCTTGAAGATTTAAAACTTTGTACATAGCCAAGTATAGGTCTTTTATTCTTTAATTGTGAAAGAGCTAAGAAACCAGCGAGCGCCAGCCTGCTTTGTGCAGGAGCACTAAGAAGGGAAATTACCGGAGCGGTGGGAAAGCGGCTTTCAGGAAGAGCAGATTGAGTCTTATAATTACTATGTACTGAGGAACTTGGGAGTGACAATGATAGGGCAATTTAAAATAAAATAAAACGGTAACTTTTGGAGCACAGAGCCGAGGGGAAGAAAGTTATTTTAAAAGATCACATTTGCTGTGTAATTGTTGTTTTTTTTTTCATTTCAGTTTTAAAGCCCAAATCTACAGCTATGTATCAGTTTTAGTGGCATATTTTTGCAACCTACCATGGCGTCTTATCCAGGACAGATAACTTACTTGCTTTCGGCATGCTGATAATAAGGGAGCGGTTCCTCCCCATTGGGGAGCATTCACTTTGCTCTCCACCTGGTGGAACACATATTGGTACCTGTCTTGGGCCGATTTCATGGCCATGGATGATTCAGAATCCTAGAAGACTCTCTTGAGGCGGTCGCACCATCTCCACCAAGGGCGCTCAACAGACCCAGCAGTGTTGGATAATAATATCCAATGTTTTCTTTAATAAATATCTATCAAGAGCCTGCCTGATCACATAAGTCAGTGTTCAGGTTGTGATTAAACAGAGACCTTAATGTCACGATAGATTTTCTCGATGAGGAAGGCAGATAAAAATTAAGAAAGAAAATTGAAAACCTACGGTGTCTGAAGACGAAAGTGGTA